AACCAGTCATAAAGCGGTCAAAAATAACTAGCGTACAATTATATTGGAGAGTGAGTGCATTTCATCATTAATTTGGTGATATTTATCGGCATAATATAAAATATTTTAGTTATATTATGTTAATTGAAGATCAGATTCCAACTTTTTTGAATAAATAAAGTTATATTATAAGTTTTAATATTATTTTAAGATCGGTCAACTATTGGATCCGTCAGAATCCCTTTACCCAGTAAAAAATTCATTTGGTCATTTATTAGACCTTCTGATTTTATCACAATCCAATTAATGACCGTATATTTATAATACTAACTTCTCAACCTCAAAATTAAATCTGTCAAGTGTTTAAAGTACTTTAGTCATTCAATATTTTGTAAATATAAAAATAATCATTATAAAATGTATATTTACAATTAAAATAATACTTAAAATCTTTTTTGATTATTAAATTTTATTTTATTGTAATTTTTTTAGTGAACGGTTATATCAAAGAATGAATTATTAGAAGAAAAAATTGCTAAGCAATTAAAAAAATAAAAAAGAGTTCCAAGCTAGTAAAAAAGCTTTAATTGAAAAAAAGAAGGAGAAGAATAAAAAAATTTCAAGTTAATCAGAAGAATTATCGTCATTAAAATGAATTTGTGATTATTTGTGACCTAAAGAAATGTGACTTTATGTTAATTATTGCTATTATTTATATTATTTTATAAAAAAGTACGATTTAAAATTATATTGTATGTTTAGTTTTGTTAAAGATGTCGTTAATACTTTAAAAGTACTGGATAAATTTAATTACATACATGTAGTTTACAAAATTACTTATAATTATTTAAACGGTCAATTAATTGGAGAACGGTCGGCCAATAATTGGTGATTTTAGTATTTCAAGATTCAAATAACAAAATTAATATAATTTTGTTAATTTTTATTATAAATAGTTATTAATTATTATTAATTAAGTATTTAACTTTAATAAAATCCATTATAAATTGGTTTTAGTAGGTTAATAGATTTTTTATAGCTTAGTACAGAAAAAGAAAACCTTAATCGGTCAATAATTGGTGCATTTACCCTAAGTAAAATTTTTTTTTTTAATCACTTGATTAAAACTATAAAATTGAAGTACCTGGAGGAAGGAATCGCTGACGTAGAAGTCGGCTCCTTGTCCTTGGTGCTGCGGTTCCCGTACTTGTTCTTGAGGTACCTCGCCCAGGAACTGAGCGCAGCGCCATCCTTCTCCGCACCGGGGCGCTCGCGTTCGGGACTCGGTTCGCGGGACTTTAGCGCATGCGTGCTGCGGCTCCGGGCCAGTTCCGAGCCGGCTCCGTATTTGGCTGCCAAGTACGCGTTCGGAGACTGGGTGGTGGGCGACGGGGGGTCTTCGTCCAGGTCGATGTCGTCGTTGCCGAAATTGTGGGAACTCCGAGAGCGTGCCACTCGTTGACGTCGTTCTTTCAAAGCCGCGTAACGTGAACGCGGAGACAGTGGCTCGACTTCCGGTTCCGGTTCTCGTTCTCGTTCACGCTCTCGTTCCCGCGGCGCTGTTACCGCCGCTTGACTTCTGCTCTTGTTCAGGAATCTGAAAATTTTTTTATTTTTTAGTTTTTTTGGATAAAATTGTAGTAAAAAATTAATTTTAGATAAAATTTTTCTATAATTTTTTTAAAAATTTTATTATAAAATTTTTGATCAAATTTCTATAGAATTAATTTTTTTATTAAAAATTTATCAAAAAAAATTATGAATAAAATTTCTTTACAATTAATTTTTTTACAAATATTTTTAATAAAAATTTGTAAAAAAATTCTTACTGAAATTTTTTTAGTTAATTTTTTCATAAAAATTCTATAAAAAATTTTTAATAAAATTTCTTTTGAATTTTTTCTTTAAAAAAAATTATTCACAAAATTTTGTTGTAAATAATTATTAATAAAATTTTATAAAGAAAATTCTTACTGAAATTTTTTTAGTTAATTTTTTATGGAAATTTTATTAAGAAAATTCTTAAAAAAAATAGATACAAAATTTTTAATAAAATTTCTTTTGAATTTTTTCTTTAAAAAAATAATTAATAAAATTTTTTTTATAAATAATTTTTAAAAAAATTCTTCATCAAATTTTATAAAGAAAATTCTTAGAAAAATTAATTTTGTTATAAAAAAATTCTTAATAAAATTTTTATAAAAATTCTTGTGAAACTCACTTTTAAAAAAATTTAATAAAAAAAATTCTTAAAAAATTTATTTAAAATTAATTTTTTTATAAAAAATTTTATTGAAAAAATTCTTCATCAAATTTTATAAAAAAAATTTTTAGAAAAATTAATTTTGATATAAAACATTTTTAATAAAATTTTTATAAAAATTTCTTTAAAATTCACTTTTAAAAAAATTTAATAAAAAAAAATCCTTAGTAAAATTTTAAAGAAAATTTCTTTACAATTAATTTATTTTTTAAATACAAAATAATTGCAGCGCGAAAAAAAATTTCATCCGATTAAATCACAAGATTTTCTACGTAACAAAAATATTTGTCATTGACCCGATTAACCTCTTCTAAATAAAAATAACTACTCTATTAAACTTTGGACATAAGCCACATGTTGAAAAAAAAAAAAAAAACCAAAACAAAAAAATAAATAACATTATATTTATAAATAAATAAGATTGGCAATAATCTATTTTTTATGACACTTAAATACTATTTATACCGAACTGTTTCATTAAATTTTTCTTCCACGCTCAGTATCCTCTCAGAATGTAGTCGCGCGCGTGTGCAGAAAAAAACAAACACTAACTTATCCGTGAGTTTTTTTATAATTTGCAAAAAAAAACAAAAAAAAAAAGAAAAATACCAGTACTTCTATTTCTACTACAAAACTCCTCTACTATTTTAATTTAAAAGCAATTGCTACTGGCACATTCCAATCGCAAGAAACAATCCAAAATAAAAATATATATAAAGGAAAAAAAAAAAAAAATTTACTAACGGGAGTCTGTAGTTGCTTTGGCCTGATTTTGTAGTTAAACGTTTTAAATAAATTAAATTTTAAATACAAGGGAAATAAATAAAACGAGTTATCACAAGACTGTTTATTAACCACAACACTGACGTTACGAACAAGGACACAGCAAACGTTGTACAAAAAATTTATTATTACTATTATTATTGTTATTATTATATAATTTTTTTATTACAAATAAAGATTTATAATAAATTGTTTTTATTAAATTTATTATTGATATAATGTTTACAGCAAAGCGATAACAGTACGCGTAAAACACTGAGAGGAGATAGACAAACATTTAATAAAATAAAATAAAAAGCTTATAAATTGAGCAAATTTGTTACGCGTATTATTATTATTTTTATTAAAATTTTAAACAGCTGAATAATAATGTTAAGAATAACAATAATATATAATAATAATAGATTGTAGTTTTTAATTATTTTTATTATTATTGACAATAATTAATAATTATTAATTATAATTCAAAAAAAATTTCATCAATATATTTGAAAAAATTAATATTTAAATTTAAAAAGAAATCCCGCCAAATTTACCGCGTAAATTTTCAAATTTAAATTTCAAATGGCGCCACTAGAATTCATAACAGAGAAAACAAAAATGGCTGAAGGTCAACAGCTGATTGTTCCAACTCAGTTCGAATTTTAATTTGCCAATTAAAAAAAAACTACAAGGATTTAAAAACTCAAATTAAACAAAATTATACTTTATGATAGTACAAATCTAAAAATTATTATTACTATTATTATTATTGTTATTATTATTAATATGGGCATGGATATTAGCATTCAACGATAATAAATATCTAAATATTCAAAGAATAATTATCACAAATTATAAAAAGATAAAATGCTTCGAAAAAAAATAATCGATAATTCTTTTTAATGCTAACCCGGCACGAGGCGAAGACCATTCGTTTAAATAAAATTCATTATTAATAATAATTATTAACAATTCGCTGAAAGTATTAGTGAAATCTTGACAACGATATTCTTTTCACACAAACAAATCGATGTGTTAATTGACATTGTTTCAAACTGCTGTCATAGGAACAGATTCGTTAGAACGCCGTAACACAATACAGAAACACAGAAGACAGTGGTTACCATTTGCATTGGTATGTTCCTGTTGTCCGATCTTCTTCCATTATCATCATTATCATTATCATTATTATTGTTATTATTTTCATTGGAAATATCAACAGTACTTTCACTGTAATACGTGTTTCCTTTTCCAGCAGCGCCACCTGGGTCTTGACCAGCAGCGCCATCTTGCGGAGAAACACTAGTACTAGAAGTTTGTTCCAAGTCGTTCTCCAGCCAGCCATTTCCCGGCTTAACCTCACTTTTTTCATCATTTGTCCCCCAAAAATCGGCATCGAAATTACGGTCGGTAAAAAAATCAGTCTTTGAAGAATTCGAGTTGAGGCTTGGGCTCTTCAGACTCGGAGAATGCAGCTCCTCTTCCGCAACAATCCACCCTTGTTCATCAAACAAATCCTCGCTAATGGAATTCCTATTAAAGATATCTTCAATCCTATCAGACACATTTGTGGAAAAGGACGCGGACATTTCCGAGGCAGAGTCGTTGCTTTTAGAATAAGTTCTTAAGTCTTCTGATTCAGCTTCTGAATCGTCATCTTTAGGGTTATGTTTGAGTGAATATTCTTGTTCCATTTTCTTCGCGCTTTTTATTACACTGGACAGAATTTCTCCCAAATCTTCAGTGTCGGTCAATATTCCATCACTTACTTCTGTTTCTATTTCCGGGGACATTTTTCTTGACTGTCCATTTTCTAGAATCCTTCCGTTAGAAACATTATCCTCATTTTTATTGTTGGGTCCGTCTAATTCGTTAGAATAGTTCTTCCCATTTAATTTCTTTTCTTCTTCCAATCTATTAGAAATACCATTGTTGACTATTTTTTCATTAGATGCACTTTCACCATTAAATTCATCACTGTATCTAAAAACATTTACTTGATTATCAATTTTATTGTTCAATTCATGAAAACCAGCCTTAAAATGTCTTCTTTTAGACTCATCTTCATTAACAGGTTCTTTATTAAATTCATGTGAACCAGCCTTAACATTTCTTCTTTGATATTCTTCTTGATCATTAAAAGCTCTACTATTTAATTCATTAGAATCAGCCTCATTATGTATTTTAGATCCTTCTTTTTCATCAAAAGTTCCTCTTTCTAACTCATGAAATCTAGCTTCAATATTTTTTCTATTAGATTCTTTTTGATCATTGTTAAATTCATGAATATTAGCCTTAACATTCATTCTTTCCGACTCTTTTTGAACATTAGCAGTTTCTTTATTAAATTCATGTGAACCAGCCTTAAAACTACTTGTTTCATCATCAGATTCTTCTTGATCAGTTTCACTATTTAATTCATGAAAATTAGCCTTAATATCCCTTCTCTCAGAATTTTCCTCATCATTTACAGTTCTACTATTTAATTCATAAGAACCACCCTTAATATTACTCTTTTGATCATTATTTTCATCTAGACTATCAATTCCGCTATTTAATTCCTTAAAATCAACCTTAACATTCCTTTCTTTATACTCTTTTTGATCATTTAAACTTTTACCATTAAATTCATGCGAACCAGCCTTAATATTACTTGTTTCATCATCAGATTCTTCTTGATCAGTTTCACTATTCAATTCGCTAGAACCAGGCTTAACATTACTCAATTCATCATCATCTTGTTCATCAATTTCATTTGTTAATTCATGAAAACCAGCCTTAACATTCTTTCTTTCAGAACTATCTTGATCATTAACAGTTCCACTATTTAATTCATGAGAACCAGCCTTAAAAATCTTTCTCTCATCAGACTCTTGATCATAATTAGTCTCTTGATAAGCTTCATGCGAACCAGCCTTAACATCCCTTTCAGACTCTTCTTCACTATCAATTTCATCAGAACTAACCTCAACAGCTTTACTTCCACCTAGTGCCTCATCATAACCCTCCTCCTTAATGCTACCAAGCATCCAATTGCCTTCATTTTGAGCCGCCATCTTACCGAGCTCATAACTACCAATGGTCAACGCCTCGGGTTGATTGTTCGCGGAATCACTTTGGTTATTCTCAGATGAAATTAAATCTAATTTAATATTATTATTATCAGTCCCGTTATTAATATTAACGTTTTCTTCCGATACAGTCAGGTCAGGGTGATTAACACTAATTAATTTGCTGTCGTCAGGGGTAATGACAATTGATGGGACACTGGAATAATGTTCGTTTGATGCTAATATCTTCTCACCCGTAAAACTAATGCAATTATTATTATTATTATCATTATTATTATTATTATTATTATTATTATTATTATTATTATTATTATTATTATTATTATTATTATCATTATTATTATTATTATTATTATTATTATTATTATTAATATTATTACTCGCGGATTCATTATTAACACTATCACCCATTGATAATAATGCGTGGTCACTGTTTTTACGATTAACGCCGCTATAATGTACAACATTATCGTCCAGGGTGTTAACGGAATTGGAAGACAAGTCGTGATTGTCGTGAGCAATTGCTACGAACCTGCTGGTATAGCCGCTTGGAGATGATGTTCCTGTTGGCGAGGATGCTGATAGAGCTGGACTACCACGAGGTGATGAGTATCTATCATTAAAATAATTTTATTAATATAATTTTATCTTACTATTCCATTTTTAGAGATGAAAAAAATAAACTAACCTAGTAGACGGTGATTCTTCTTTGCTGCCACGTCTCGCTTCAGCGCTGCGAGCCAATAGCGGCCCGATGTCGGTCTTAGCCATGGCTACTTCCCGGCGTTCGCTGGTAGCTGGCGCTGAAGATGTCCGTGTGTCTGTTTCAGACTCCTCGGTCTCTGTTTCTGTTTCTTCCGAGGAACTAGAGGTGTCGTCGTCGTCTTCTTCCTCCTTTTTCTTCTCAGGAACTGGCGCTGGGCTGGGAGCTGGTGGTGTTGCGCGGTTACCTGAAATTAAGTTTTAAATTGTTATCATTAATTATTTTAAAAATTTATTAATTGTTTGGTTAAAAGGAGTAATTTTATATTTGTAATTAAAAAAGTAGGAATTGTGGGGAAATATTGAAGATATGGAAAAATCATAAGAGACCTTTTTTGTAGAAAATTTAATTCTCTAGAGAATTAATTTGATAATTTAGAAGACCAGTAAACTGCAGACAATGCAACTGCGACAGTTCAACCGAAGAACTGTTTATCCGACGATAGTACAACCTGATAACAATTCGAATAACCAAATTTCAACCACATTACATGTAGGGTAAAAGTATCGGTTTTGGTCATCTTAGAGCTATTTTTGGTCGCTTGATATTTTAGTGAATTTATGAAAAATTTAATTATTCAAATAAAATTTACGAATTAGTACATTTATACGGATTGAATTCATAGTCTTTTGGGCTAATAAAAATATTTATACAATAATTTGAAAATAAAGTGGCCAAAAAAAAAATGGTGTGTGTACTTATGTACACGCGTCAGAAGTTATACTTCTTTGGCATCCCTGGTGAAAATTTTTCGGACTTTTCTCTCAACAACTCTGGAGAAGTCTTTAGAACTTAAGATAAGTCTTTTTTCAGAGTTTTTCAGAGAAAAGTCCGAAAAATTTGTACACAGGATATAATAAAAAAAATTTTAAAGAAAAAAAAATTCAAAAATTATCAAAGAAAAATGTTAAAAACAATCAAATAGGTTTTATTATAGTAAAAATTTAGCTATACCGTATAAACATAAAATCATTAATTATCATATGAATTTAATTCATTATTATTAAAGATTTTTCTAAATAAACTTATTTTGGAGCTTCAAAGTATCAATAGTTTACAATCGATAATTATAAAATATTTTAATTATGAAAATTAAGTTAGCTGACATAAAAATTTTGAGAATTTTTTTTTTATTGAAAAAATAATTAAAAATAATAAAAAAAAATTTTCACTTGTAAAAAACTTCAAGAACTGTAAGTGCAATTTTTAAAAAGTATTTTTTTGTTTTAATTTAATTATTAAAGATAAAATAAAAAAATTAAAAACGTCGGCTAACTTTAGTATCATTAATTATTTATTTAAAATATATTATGTTTCTTATAAAATAATTCATTATTTATTATTTAACCTCATTTTTTCATCAATTTTTCATAACGCGCCTAAAGAAGTATAACTTCAATAAATATTATAAATATAAATACACAGTGAACAGAGGCGGCGTGCGTGCCAACATGCGCCACTAACAGAGATTCCATTTCTGTTTTGTTGGTAGCATTTTTTCCTCAACTTAATGAGCGATTTAGTGGACAACTTCATTCTGTTAATTTTGTGTCACGGTGCGCGCGCATCGTAAAATTTCACTCTCATCAATTTTTCATAACGCGCCTAAAGAAGTATAACTTCAAAAAGTACACTGGCCACAAGCGGTACTTCTATCCTAAACCGTTGAATTGTAAATCCGTCGTATTCTCAAACTTATTATTATTTTAAGTTTGAAATAACCACCAAAAATATTTTATATGGGAAGAAAACGTAGGTTTGAAATTTCCCGACCTTATCGTCAGTAGATAACTTAAGGTAGTACCTCCACGAAAAGCATATTTCAAGAAACTTATGAAATTTTTTTTATCGAAAGATAAATATATTAATAATTCACCACCAAAATTTCAGATCAATTCACCACACCGTTTTTGAGTAATTAATTTTCGAAATTGCATCTTTTACACGTAGTGGTATAGGGAGATGATAAAGTTAGTATGAAATCTTTCGTACCACTCGAGTAGTACAATTCGGACCAGTAGATTTTTAGAAATCTCAAAAAAACTACAAAAAAAAATTTTTATGAAATGTGTTTTTTTTTGGAATTACTTTTAAATGGCTTCACCGTTCAATTCCAAAATCTAGTCAGCTCTTTAAATCAAAAAACCACGTCGATCACTGTAAGCCCGGTCAAAATCGGTTGATTCGTTCGTGAGTTATCGTTATCGAAAGAAAACCGAAAAAAGTGTTTTTTCGGAATTACTTTGAAATTCCTGGCTCGATCGATTTAAACTTGAAGATTCTTTATGGGGCTTTGAAAACTGCGTCGAATGCCGCCAACCGCGTAAAAATCGGTTTATTCATTCAAAAGTTATTGCCGTTTGAAAATTCGAAAAATTGTGTTTTATTAAACTGCTATTAGAGTTTTGAGCTCGAAGAGCTCAAAATGACACAAAAATCATATTTGTGAGCTTGGAGAGCTCAAAAACGTAATGTGTAATTTTGAGCGCTTAAGTACAAAATGAGCGGGAAGTTGCAGGGATGGCCTTTAGGGTTAACCATCGTCCTAATTTTTTTTTCGTGAGTTTTGTGTGTGATTATTCTTAAATAGACGTATTTTGTTATCATGATGTGCTTTATTTTTCATGAGTTTTCAACCGGTTGAAGTGTGTTCGGTAAAATTGTTATCAAGTTAAACTATCGTTCGGTTGAAATGTCGTCGGATGAAATGTCCTTCTACTAGTCGCGGCACCGTTAGTCATTATTACATTTAGGATGGGAAATTTACTCATTACCAGATTTAATCATTATTCTATTACTCATAGTTAATCCACAGATTCGGTAGAATCTGGCGCCAAGTTCCGTTCAAATCCGTTGTAAACGGAGCGCCAGACTACCGAGTGTGTTTACTGTAAGCAGAACGGTATTTCGAGGTTGCAAAATTTTATTTAATTCTACGGTAATTTTTTTTCCTAAATTTTATATTATAACAGTAATTCATACTTTATTTTACTGATATTAATTAATTATATTTAATTATAACAATTAATCTACTTGAAATTATTAAATTTAATCAGCACAAACTATAGCAACGCAAAAATTTCGATCCTGACTTTTTTTCGATGGGCAAAGTGATCTGCCACAGACTAAATAATTCATTACAAAAAATACTAAAATCCGAATAAAAACAGTTTCACTGTAAAAAAATCGCGTCAAGTCCACGTTCATAAGACTATTAAGAATAAAAAATTTTGTTTTCTTTACAAAAAGGTATAAAATAAAAAAATTAAAAAATCCAAGTAACTGATATGATTGTTTATGATTTTCGGAAATTAAAAGAAATTTTGTTGTAAATTTAAAAATTAAAAAAAAAATTTTGGGACGTACTTGGTGTGCGTCATTGTGTATTTTAATTTTTATAAAGTCCTAGTAAATAGAATTCACGAATTTCATTAAAAGTAAAATATTTTGCAACCACGCACACTAAATACGTTCCAAAATTTTTTTTTTAATTTTTAAATTTACAACAAAATTTTTTCTAATTTCGGAAAATCATATACAATCATATCGGTTACTTGGATTTTTTAATTTTTTTATTTTATATCTTTTTGTAAAGAAAGAACTAATTTTTTTTTCTTAATAGTCTTATGAACGTGGACTTGGCGCGATTTTTTTACAGTGAAACTGTTTTTGTTCGGATTACTATTAATAAAGTGTTTAGAATAGAAGTGCTCTGTACAGTTTATATATATTCAATCAATTATTATATTATCCTGCTCTTAAAGTCAACAGGTTATGGGCCCAGTGCACTTACACTGCTCATATCTTTTATTATTCAGCCGGAATATTAATTTTGAGTAAAATAAAAGCTAAAATACAAACCTAAAAAACGGCTTTGAAACGGCCGAGGACTGGGAGCAGTTGTAGCGCTTGCAGATTCTCTAACCGGGTTAGTAGAAGATACACTATTGGTGTTTGTAGTCTGAGGTGGCGCCCTGGAGAGGTACTTCTGCTTCATCTCCTCAGTTGTGAAGGTAGCGCCGGTACTTCGGATTCCAGAGCCAGCGGAACTCTCTGATCCAGTGCTTGAGTCCGAAGACGCGCTTCTCACTCCCGGTGTGTGGGGTTCTGAGGACGTCCTTCTGTGACCAACAAAGACTGATTAATAATTAATTACACTACACAATAGTAATTGATAATAATAACATTGAATCATCTAAATGAAAAGCAATTACTAATTACTAATTACTAACCTGGTAACTGGTCTCCGATCCTCTGTTTCAGGTTCGCGTGCCACCGGGGTAGGTGTCGCCGGTGGTCGTTCCTCCACGGCCTCTGCTTGCGGGTTCGCCTTGTTCTGCTTTTTTATTCTTGAGATTTCATCATCCTCGCTGGACTGCTTGGCTGGGGCTGGACTCTTCTTCGGCTGTACCTTTAATTTTTATTTATTTTGGTAAACATTTTTTTATTTTGCTAAGTTTGGACAAAGTAAGTTAATGAAAATTTTTATTAATTTATTTGTAATTATAATTACATGCTTGCTTATTAATCGGATAAAAACAATTTCCATTACAGCAACCAACGCCGAGCCAATGAAGCCTCACAAAACTAAGAAACTGCCGACTATTGTTTATTATTATTGGTGGTGGAAAACTATTAAGATTACTTTGGAAATGTTTTATTAGAAATTAATTTTTAGTTTATTGTTCAAATTTTGGATAAATTATAAGAGATAGAGAAAAATTGACAAAAACTTTTTTTGAACAAGATTAAATTAAATACAAAAAAGGTTTCTTGTAACTTTTCAAATTTTCAATAATTAAGCCAAAATTTTGATTTTAAACTTTTTAAACACATGGTCTTAACAGACACGATTGTAATTGAACTTTGAATTTAATTTATCGCTAAATAATAAGAGATACGAAAAAATTGATAATGACCTTTTCGATAGAAAACTAAATTTCTTACAAAAAAGGGGTCGTACAATTTTTCCGTATTTTCAATTTTTAAGCTAGAATTTTGAATTTAAACATGTGATTCTGATCATACTTGTAATTCTGGCTAAATGATAAGAGATAGAAGAAAATTGAGAACGACTTTTTTGATAAAGAATCAAATTTCCTTAAAAAAAAGGTATCTTATATTTTTTTTTTCATATTTTCGATATTTACCGCAAAATTTTGACTTTAAAACTTAAAAAATTTTTGAACTAATTAAATACTCTTATAATCGACCTTTGCATTAAAATTCTGGCTAAATGATAAGAGAAGTAAAAAAATGAAGAAGGACCTTTTCAATAGAAAATTGAATGTCCTTCATAAAAGGTTGTTTATGATTTTTCCATATTTTTAATATTTAAGCACAAATTTTGATTTTAAACTTTTTAAACACTTCACAGAAAAAAAAATGTTCTTGAATCAAGTATATAATTTTGAAGAACTTAATATTTTGGATTTGAGTAGAAAAATTCTTGATTTAAGAAAATTTTATTTGATTCAAGAATTTTTCGTCTTGATTCAAGACAATTTTACTCTCTTCAAAGTTATATTCTTGGTTCAAGAATTTTTTTCTCGAATCAAATTAATTTTTTATTCTGAGTAGGTTTAATCAGACACAATTAAAATTGAATTCCGCGTTGCAATTCTGGTTAAATGATAAGAGATAGAAAAAAATTGATAGGAACTTTTTGGCTGTTCAATTTTAAAACACAGTAACTCACAATTTTAAAAATTTTCCTTATTAAAAAAAAAGTTTGCGCAACAAATTGATAAAATATTTGATTTATGAATAAAAAATTCTTCAATATAAATATTCTTAGGAGAAAAAATACTTGAAATTAAAGTCTAAAGTAAAAAAATCAAGTATAAAAATTTTGCCATTACTGTGTTTTAAAATTGAGCAGCTGTTTTTCGATAAAGAATCAAATTTCCTACAAAAAAAAAAGTATATTTTTTGGTATTTTCAATATTTAACGCAAAATTTTGACTTAAAAACTATGAAAACTTTTGAACTAATTAAATATCCTTCTAATCGACCTCTGGATCAAAATTCTGGCTTGATAAGAGATACGAAAAAATTAATAATAACCTTTTCAATAGAAAATTGAATTTCCTTCAAAAAAAGTTTCTTATGATTTTTCCAAATTTTCAATATTTAACCCAATTAATTACAATAAATAAAACATTTCCACAAGTATCTTAAAACGTAAAAATACTAGGAGTAAAATTGAAATAAGTAATAAATGCCTTAAAGTTTAAACAAATTTATTAAACTTATTGTGTTTATTTATAGAACTCCTATTATTATGATTACGATTATGATTAATAAAAGAAATAAAACTGTATCGTATGTGAAATGAATAAGGAACTTATTGTTTTGTATATTGGTATAGTAGCTCAGATCGAGTTTACGTGGCGAGGACTCATCCGATCGGAGGGTTGTGTATGGAATACATAGCAGGGTCACTGTTAAAATAAATTAAAAATAATTTTTAATAATTTAAAGAAAAATTTACATTAATATTTTGTTTGTGTAAAAAATAAATGAAAAACCAATAACAAGATAAATAGTTAATAATGTGAAGCAGGAGGTGAAATTAGAGTAAATTAGAGTGATAAATGTTTACCTGGGTGGTTTTGGGCGGTTGTGTTTGCGTGGGAGCAGCTGCAATGGGTGTTACGACAGCCGGGTCATCTTTTTTGCGCTTACTCGCCCTCTCGCACTCTTGTAACTTTTTCATAACCCTCGGCGAGTCGGTTAAGCGGAAGATGCCGGATATTGGCCCGCGGGCGGCATCCTCTGTGTATAATACCTTTTCGCGGGGTGCTTGCTCCGCTGACGATGAAAAACGAACGCTGGATCTAGTGTCGCCGTCAGACTCCTCTCCGTCCCGTTGACGCATAAATCGGCTCCGATAACGGGATTTGTTGCGCGGCGCTTCGTAATCTGGGGTGTCGTATCTGAAAAATTGTCATTTTTATTAGTCGAGGGCCTTTTAATATCAATTTTTTAATTTAAAATTTTTTAGTTTAATTTTTTGGCTTTCAAATTGAACAAATGTCAATAAGAACTCGTTTTAAGTCATCTTTCTACATAATTAAAATTTTAGGCTTAGAAGAGGTTGAGGCAACGAGCAGAAAGTGTGTTTTAAAACACGAGCGCAGAACATCTTACTAAGGTAAAGTACCAAGTAGTTGAACAGATTTCAAAGTAAAACGTATTTGACCCTACTTTTAATATATAAACATGTAATTAATATTTCAAATAATATTACTGATTTTTCGGTAGTTTTTACTGATTGTTATGAGTAATATGGGCATATTACTCATAATAAATTTACAGATTTTGTTTTATAACAATTCGAAAAGTCTGTTTAAGTACTGGTCTCATTTTTATGTGTTCAAGTACTGGGTACTTTATCTTAAGTTTGGACTTAAAAAAAAGCAATCTATATAAGGTTGTAGTTAATTCGAAAAATGCTGTTTCGAGAAAAACGCGTTTAAAGATAAAATTATTTTATTCTAACTGCCGAGCGGCTACTCTAGAAATGGCTGTAACTCGAAAACTATTTGAGATATCGATTAAAAATTCTAGTATGTTATTTTTAAAGGTATATAACCTATCGAAATATGAAACAAAAAAAATTGATTTTTTTTTTAATTTCACACTAAGGAAAGAGCCCCCATTATTACACGCTTTTTATTAGCTTCACTTGTATGTCAGTATGTCCGATCAGTATGTAACTCTCTGTGGGTAATTTGCGCGCCTGCGGCCTATAATTTTTCTCTACAGTCGATAAGACAGGACTTGATGTTAATTTTAATTTCTAATAATTATCTTTAGCCGATTTCTCTAATATTGACAAATTCTCGAATACTAACGAGAATTTTAATCCTACAAAACAAATAATAGTTAAAAAAAACTAAAAAATCACGCTTTTATAAATTAACCAAACTAAAAAGTAAAAAATAAATAATAGTTTAAAAAAAACTAAAAACACGCTTTTTATAGAAAATCAAACTAAAAAATAGAAAATAAATTTTAATAAATTTAAATTAAGAATAGTGTTAAAAATTTCAATAAATATAAATTAATAATAGTGTAAATAAAAAAAAATGTATTTTATTTTAAAAAAAGCGTGGGGTGCATGGTATCAATAGTTATTAATATTTTATTGACAGATGTGAGTAGAGTGAAAATAAAATAATTTTTTTTTTTATTCACACTTATTAATTAATATTTATTGAAATTTTTAACACTATTCTTAATTTAAATTTATAAAAATTTATTTTCTATTTTTTAGTTAGGTTATCTATAAAAAGCGTGTTTTTAGTTTTTTTAAACTATTATTTATTTTTTACTTTTTAGTTTGGTTAATTTATAAAAGCGTGATTTTTTAGTTTTTTAAA